AGCCCCCTCGCCACAAAACCTCCTTTACCCCCCCCTCCCCCCTTTCCCTAGGCCACCCCCCCCCGCCTTCCTTCCACTACAGACTGATACACTCTTGAAGTCATTCTGTTCGCTCCATTTCCTCTACATGTCCAAAACCACCTCAAAAACCCCTTCCTCAGCCCTCTGGACAACAGTTTTGGTAATCCCGCACCTCCTCCTAACTTCCAAACTAACGAATTCTCTGCATTATATTCACACCACACATTGCCCTCAACATGACATCTCCACTGCCCTCCAGCCTTCTCCTCGCTGCAACATTCATCACCCCACGCTTCACACCCATATAAGAGCGTTGGTAAAACTATACTCTCATACATTCCCCTCTTTGCCTCCAAGGACAAAGTTCTTTGTCTCCACAGACTCCTAAGTGCACCACTCACTCTTTTTTCCCTCATAAATTCGTGATTCACCTCATCTTTCATAGACCCATCCGCTGACACTCCACTCCCAAATATCTGAATACTTCACCTCCTCCATACTCTCTCCCTCCAATCTGATATTCAATCTTTCATCACCTAATCTTTTTGTTATCCTCATAACCTTACTCTTTCCTGTATTCACCTTTAATTTTCTTCTTTTGCACACCCTACCAATTCATCCACCAATCTCTGCAACTTCTCTTCAGAATCTCCCAAGAGCACAGTGTCATCAGCAAAGAGCAGCTGTGACAACTCCCACTTTGTGTGTGATTCTTTATCTTTTAACTCCACGCCTCTTGCCAAGACCCTCGCATTTACTTCTCTTACAACCCCATCTATAAATATATTAAACAACCACGGTGACATCACACATCCTTGTCTAAGGCCTACTTTTACTGGGAAAAAATTTCCCTCTTTTCCTACATACTCTAACTGAGCCTCACTATCCTCGTAAAAACTCTTCACTGCTTTCAGTAACCTACCTCCTACACCATACACTTGCACATCGCCACATTGCCCCCCTATCCACCCTGTCATACGCCTTTTCCAAATCCATAAATGCCACAAAGACCTCTTTAAGCCTTATCTAAATACTGTTCACTTATATGTTTCACTGTAAACACCTGGTCCACACAACCCCCTACCTTTCCTAAAGCCTCCTTGTTCACTGCTATCCTATTCTCCGTCTTACTCTTAATTCTTTCAATTATAACTCTACCATACACTTTACCAGGTAGACTCAACAGACTTATCCCCCTATAATTTTTGCACTCTCTTTTATCCCCTTTGCCTTTATACAAAGGAACTATGCATGCTCTCTGCCAATCCCTAGGTACCTTACCCTCTTCCATACATTTATTAAATAATTGCACCAACCCACTCCAAAACTATATCCCCACCTGCTTTTAACATTTCTATCTTATTCCATCAATCCCGGCTGCCTTACCCCCTTTCATTTTACCTACTGCCTCACGAACTTCCCCCACACTCACAACTGGCTCTTCCTCACTCCTACAAGATGTTATTCCTCCTTGCCCTATACACGAAATCACAGCTTCCCTATCTTCATCAACATTTAACAATTCCTCAAAATATTCCTTCCATCTTCCCAATACCTCTAACTCTCCATTTAATAACTCTCCTCTCCTATTTTTAACTGACAAATCCATTTGTTCTCTAGGCTTTCTTAACTTGTTAATCTCACTCCAAAACTTTTTCTTATTTTCAACAAAATTTGTTGATAACATCTCACCCACTCTCTCATTTGCTCTCTTTTTACATTGCTTCACCACTCTCTTAACTTCTCTTTTTCTCCATAACTCTTCCCTCCTTGCATCACTTCTACTTTGTAAAAACTTCTCATATGCTAACTTTTTCTCCCTTACTACTCCTCTTTACATCATCATTCCACCAATCGCTCCTCTTCCCTCCTGCACCCACTTTCCTGTAACCACAAACTCTGCTGAACACTCTAACACTACATTTAAAACCTACCCCATACCTCTTCGACCCATTGCCTATGCTCTCATTAGCCCATCTATCCTCCAATAGCTGTTTATATCTTACCCTAACTGCCTCCTCTTTTAGTTTATAAACCTTCACCTCTCTCTTCCCTGATGCTTCTATCTCCTTGTATCCCATCTACCTTTTACTCTCAGTGTAGCTACAACTAGAAAGTGATCTGATATATCTGTGGCCCCTCTATAAACAGTACATCCTGAAGTCTACTCAACAGTCTTTTATCTACCAATCATAATCCAACAAACTACTGTCATTTCGCCCTACATCATATCGTGTATACTTATTTTATCCTCTTTTTCTTAAAATATGTATTACCTATAACTAAAACCCCTTTCTATACAAAGTTCAATCAAAGGGCTCCCATTATCATTTACACCTGGTCACCCCAAACTTACCTACCACACCCTCTCTAAAAGTTTCTCTCCTACTTTAGCATTCAAGTCCCCTACCACAATTACTCTCTCACTTGGTTCAAAGGCTCCTATACATTCACTTAACATCTCCCAAAATCTCTTCTTCCTCTGCATTCTCTCTTCTCCAGGTGCATACACGCTTATTTTGACCACTTCTCGCATCCACTTTACTTTAATCAACATAATTCTGATGAATTTACACATTCATTTCTCTTTTCTCCTTCCATAACTGATCATTTAAACATACTGTACCTTCCTTTGCTCTAACTCTCTAAGATACTCCAGATTTAATTCACCATTTATTTCCCCCACTGAAACTCTCCTACCCCTTCAGTTTGTTTAGCTTGGGGCCAGGGACATCCAACTCTTTCATTCTAACATCACATGATGTCACTTAGTCTGTAATAGTTGTATCATGATCGTACATTGTTAGAAATAAATATAATTACTAGTATTATTATTTTATTACTATTATGCGTCTGTGACTGTAGGTGAGCCTCAACCAACCAATAAAGTGGAAGGCCTGCTGCTGGCTATGGCTAACCATTAGGAGCATCAGCTTTTGTGTGGGGTGTGCTTAGCCACCAGTGATGTTAATAGGACTGCACTTGGATAGTGTCGGTGACAAAGAAGTGTGGGGTGTCTGTGAGGGTGGTTTAGCAGCCAATCATGCAATGAAGTGAATGTTTCTATGGTTATATCTCAGCCGTAGTAGAGTTAGAGTTTTTTACTACAGTTTATTTTTTTGCTCTCTCGGTTTGAAGCTATCAAAGGTTCAATAAACAAGCCATTTCTCTGAAGATCAAGCAAGAAATTAGTGCATTGGTGCGTGAGTATGGCTTTCCACAATCAACCATCCCTGCTATTATCAAGCAAATAGAAATAAAGAACATTGAAGTGGCTGACGAATCTAAGCCAGTGAAAAGAGGGAGAGACATTATCATTGAGATGGAATAACTTATTTACTGGGATAAGTGAGAAGCAGCTGAAGGGAACTACAGTGCTATCAAGTTTATCTGCTAGCATGCAAGTCCAAGGTATAGTTAAAATTGCACTTCCGGAGTCTTGGAACGAATTGCCTTAAAACAAGGTATTGTCGGGTTTGAGTTACGATAATTTTGAGATACATGTCTTCTGGAAAGGATTTATATCTTAACTCAAGGGACCACTGTACTATAAAAAATTTTACTCAGACAGCATTACTGTATTACATATTACAATGACCGTATTCTTAGTGTCCGGTTGTTTTCTGAAGATGATTCAAAAGACAACCAGATGATCATGAATAATTAAATAATTTCGAGGTTTCGGATAATCGGCAATTTCGTACACCACTTCCCGTCATTGGTCAGTTATTTGAGGGCTCACTGTATTTATGTAGGCCTACAAATCAGTCAAGCTAAGTGGTTCGTAGCCTGCTGCGTCACAACAGCAACGGCCTTGTTCATCAGGAAATCAACAAGGAAGTCTGCCTAGGCTGCAATTTGGGAATAATTGAACCGATGATAGGAATATCTAGCAAATGTCCTTCGGTAGGATGAGGTCTCTCCTCCCCCCCATACCAGTGGTAAGTTTTGCGAGGTTCTTTTCCTCAGAATCTGTTCGAAAAAAGCAAATTTGGAATTAATTATACAACACAAAATAAAAAGCGTGTATGTGGCCAAGGTTTTAAGGGGCTGTATAGAGACATGTTCAAAGTTTAGAAACTTTTAATAAATACATTTTATGCATTGGACTGGAAAAGTTCCTGTTCAGCAAAATGTATGTTAATAAAAGCTTTGAAATGTTGCTCATGTGTCTAATTTATATATTCGTTGGTATTATATACCGTGTGCAAGATGGACAAAGGTCTAATAAATGGGTCTAGGGAAGAGGGGGAGGGGAATCAGCAGTATGACACATGCAGCAGTGTAAGTGTGACAAACCTACTGGTCCTGAGGTGTCGCAAGGGTCGCCGGTGGTGCGGGGGACACCGTGGATCACTTTGTGGGGGACACCGTGGGTCACCACCACCATCCATCACACTGCCATACTCCTCAGTCTCCGAGGCTTCGTAGGGAAAGCCTCGTGGTGGTCGGTTGTCACGTTCACTCTGTTGGAATCGATAACAATATACGAGTTTTTATTTAGGCCTTATATACGAGTTTTTAAATGGTTTTATGTAGTAAATTATGTAGAATTTAACCTAGAATAAAAAGCCAATGTAACTCATTTTCACTGGGGTCCTTGTGTTAGTTTTCTTTTTACATGGGCATAAGTAAACGCACCTGCAGCTCGCGTTAAAGGAGGCTTCTAAAGGAATCTTGATTACTGGATAACAAAAATAAAAGGCACAATACCGTGACTGGAACAATACACAAATACCCCGCACATAGAAGAGAGGAACTCACGACGACGTTTCGGTCCGACTTGGACCATTTACAAAGGATTTGGAGCTAACCTCCCCTATCTTGGATAAAACCTGTTTCCTCCAATTTAACGAAAATCTGGAAACTTCCTGGGTCATGACCCAGGCAACAGCAACAACTGCTGCTCCTATATCTTTGGCATCCCCTGGGCCGATCCAAGTTCCAGTGATGGGCGTAATTGCAGTCTGCTGCCAAAAACATACAATGGAACTTATAGTTCATAGTAAACTGATGTGAGACAACGAAATGGACCAAATATGACCAAAAGAGGACGACCGGCATTCAAATACCAGACCCGCTACCAGACGTACAGCCAAACAAGCGACGTTTTCCACTACACTGAAGTAACTGACCTCCACATCAACTGTACCAGTGTTCAATGGGAAGACAACATAGGAGAAAACTTGACAACAAAACTCCAAGGAAACTGACAGGACTGTTGTGACGGTTTTTTCTCTCAGTGCCAAATGAGGGAAGGAAGTGAACATTTAAACATGGCGGACCGGCATTCAAACACCAGCTGCTGCCAGATGTACAACTAGCGAAGCGACTTCTCAACTATACTGACAGTGGCTGACCATCATATCAACTGCACCAGTGTTAATGGGAGGGAAACACAGGAGAAACCGACAAATCTACAAAACAAACACCAAGGAAACTGTCAGGTTGTAACGGCGGTTCTTTCCCTCAGTGCCAAACCGCGGGAAGGAAGTGAATAGTTATAACAGCAAGATTTTTTTTTCTGTAGCTGACCTCCATATCAACTGACCAGTGTAATTTAGGAGGGAAGAAATGGGTGAGAAAACGCCAACTCTAACGACCAATGCTACAAGATTCTGTCACACTAAGTGGCCATTTTCATTGCTAAAAAAATGGCTGAAACATCACCTCTATGGTCAGGACCAGTCAACATGACACGGCTCTGCTAAGTGGGATTGAGGAGGCTTTGGACGGATATCGCCATTGATTAAAACTTTTTATCCTGCCAGGATGTAAACGAGCTAGAAGTGTGATAGGTGAAGCTGGACTGTGATGTGAGGAGTGAAGGGAGTTTGTGAAGTAAGATAACAGGAAATCTACTAGTAATCAGTGGTGATTGTTAGAGTAGCTACTAGGCCATTGCTAGGTGACTGATAGCCATCAGTCATTTCTTTTCTTTTTTGTTGTAAAGTGATAAAAAGAGTCGACATGGCTGGAGTTAGAGGGGTACAGGCTGCCATAATTATATATATCTTTATCCGGCAATTCTCTGAACAAGGAAATCAGTCATGGGATGGGAAAAGGTGAATGTGAGGTAATAAGACCCTGGTCAGTAAAAGGCCCAAACATTGCCATCATAATGAAACAGTTCACGAATAAACGGCTTTGGTTGCCATAAGATAACCAACAAACATTTTGTAATCATTGTAGGAAAAAAAATATGAAAAGAATTATAGACAGGGCTTAATACACAAAGATATTTTAAACAATTTCATCAGTTTCACCCATTTAATAAAGAAAGCCAACATACTGTACTACTTCAGCAGATTCAATGACACAAGAGGAGATATTAAAAAAAGACCTGGAAAAACATTTCCCCAGAAGCTGGGGGACCCACAAATGAAAAAAAAAAAAAGGGGAATATTGTTCTAACTAAACCTCATGAAACACCACTGATCCCACTGATACAGCTAACAAGATAAACGACTTCTTCTCAACATGGATCTAATTCGCCAGTAAAATCCCATGTACATGCCCGTGCCGGGACTACCCAGATTGGGAATTTCCACAAAAATTCTTCTATCTTGCTACCAACTGAGCCCACGGAAGTCACCGAGATCATAAAAGTCACTTAAAAATAACTCGGGAACCTCACGTCCACACTTTATTGTCAAGCGAAGCGGCCCATGTACCTTTTGCATGACTATTACATACTTTTTAAACACATTACTTTTAACAAGTCACCTAGAAAACTAGCACTTTCCCGACACTACTCAAGACAGCAAAGGTTTACACCAATACATAAAGGTGGCGACCTACAGACATAAAAACTATAGGCCAATATAAAACTTACCATTGGCTATACAAAATCTTCGAGGAATACTCGTGCAGGGAGAATATATTCATTTTAACGTCAACAAAACATACATCAACCCCTGCCAATTTGGATTCAGGAAAAATAAAAGGAACTAATGAGCAATTTATAACAAATGTAGAAATGCTTTTACCAACAAGCTTGGAAAATAACGGTATATCGCTAGGATTTTTATTGGCCCTAAGAAACGCGTTTTTTGACACAGTTAGACAACGCATCTACTCCAAAAACTTGACCATATGGTATAGAGGCCAATGTTGCTTGCATATTTTAAATCCTACCTTTCTAATAGGTATCAGTATGTCACCATTAAAGACACAGCCTCATCAATACGGCCACTTGATACTGGAGTTCCGCAGGGAAGTGTCCTTGGACCCCTGCTCTTCCTCATTTACATCAATGATCTTCCAAACATATCCCAACACCTGAAACCCATTCTCTTTGCTGACGACATGACTTATGTCATCTCCCACCCTAATCTTGCCACCCTCAACACCATTGTTAACGAGGAGCTGCTCAAAATATCGACTTGGATGACAGCCAATAAACTTACACTTAACACTGCAAAACCTACTATATTATGTTTGGTAGCAGAGCAGGTGTTGCGCAACTTAACATTAAGATCGACAACACTCTAATTGCCAGACATAATGAGGGCAAATTCCTTGGCCTATACTGACAACAACCTAAATTTCAGCACCCATATCCAACACATAACAAAAAAAGTATCCAAAACGGTGGGGATCCTCTCCAAGATACGATACTACGTGCGCAAACTGCCCTTTCTCACACTATACCATTCACTTATATATCCATACCTCACCTATGCTATCTGTGCTTGGGGTTCAACTGCAGCAACACACCTAAAGCCAATAATAACCCAACAAAAAGCCGCAGTAGAATAATCACTAAATCCCATCCCTGGCAACACACCCCCCACTCTTCATAGATCTAAACTTACTCCCTGTTCAGAAACATCACACTTACTACTGTGCAATCTATATCTACAGGACCTTAAATTCCAATATTAACCTTGACCTAAAATGCTTTCTTGATAGTTGTGAAGGATCCACAGCATAACACCAGACACAAACATCTCTATGACATTCCCCGTGTTCGACTAAACCTTTACAAAAATTCAATGTATTTCAAAGGACCTAAAATCTGGAACACCCTACCTGAAAACTCTAGAACTGCAGACACATTCATCACTTTCAAAACTACAGTTAGAAAACATCTTATCTCCCTGATCCACCCGACAACTAACTACATGATAACCACCTGGTGGTTCACAATTACACTCACTCACCCACTGACTATAAACCCAGAAATACTAATTTAATCTTAAAATAATAAATCCTAACTAGTCATAAGTTTGCCTATGATACTCCAATATAGACACCTTGTATTGTGCCAAAACAAAAGCATTCACATTGCTAAACTCACAATTTTTGATGTGTCACTTCAGAAAACATTAATTCAATAATCTGTTAATGATTTTATGTTTAAGAATTAATTCTAAGTCTGCTCGAAATGCCTAGCCATGCTAGGTGACCTAGTGGCCCTCTGTAATTAAGTATTAGATAAACATGTTTAACCACTCAATACCCAAAAACCTGTAAAACCCCACATTGTAACCCTTATCAGAGAATTAAACGAATTGATTTGTATGTCTAACAGAAACGTAACTTGTAACCTATCGCGGCAGGTATGGCAACACCACATACCCAAACAAAAAACAGTGGCGCCACAGCTTAATAATGGCGCTATTAAGTGGTTGATATCAAAATTAATCCAGGACCTTCTAACTGTGGTACATTTGCAAAACAGATGTGAAGTGACAGTGATAACCGATGGTCTGTAGCTTGGAATGATGATCTTAAAAAAAAATACTACATGTAATCACACATAGGGCAACGTGAACAATAGAAACCATTAATTCTTTATCTCAGACACCACCGGAAATATGTATACATTGTATTAAGGTACGAAAGAAGAACAGTAAATGTACCTTATCTAAAATGTCTGGCTTAGCGCTTCTTTTTGATTATAATAATAATAATAATCTAAAATGTCTAAGAGGTGGGTGCATAATGGATGTGTGTACGATTATGGTAATGATATCAGATTTCATTGTAACAGTTTGGTACAGTTACCCTTTAGCAGTGATGACAGTGAGTTACCCAATTTTAATATAAAGGACCTTTGGAAAATTAAATTTACTTGGATGAATCTCATAAGATACAAACCAGTAAATGGTAACTAAGATAATTATTCTTTATCAAGGTTGCAGAGACAAGTAGGAATTTTAGGACACCTAGGTCTCAAAAAATGTCTTCCTTCGATACCTACTACTGTCATATCTCCACAAGTCACTCTGGACCTATATTAATTTCAAATGAAATATCACCAGGAATTCTAGTAAACATTAATATAAATATGTGGACTGTATATTAAATTTAAAAAATGAATACATATACATTGAAGGAGAATTTATAATAATAAGACTCGCCAATTAGTCTGGAGATTACGGTGTGTCATACACAAAACCCCTTGCCTAAAATATGAAGAAAATAGAGTTGGCCGAGAATTCAACATAAATAGACATCG